ATCCGTTTTGAAAGTTTGACTGACAAGAGCAAGCTGGATGCTCAACCAGAGCTTTTCATTCACATTATCCCTGACAAGACCAATAATAGTCTGTCTATCATTGATAGTGGTATTGGAATGACCAAGGCTGGTGAGTATAGCTCTAATTGAAGTATTTTTCATATCATTTCATTATTTTTATGTTACAGGGCCATCTAAATTGGTTTTGTTGGGAATTTCAGATTTGGTGAACAATCTTGGTACCATTGCAAGGTCTGGAACCAAGGAATTTATGGAAGCTCTTGCTGCTGGTGCTGATGTCAGTATGATTGGACAGTTTGGTGTTGGTTTCTATTCAGCTTACTTGGTTGCTGAGAAGGTTGTGGTCACCACAAAGCACAATGATGATGAGCAGTATGTGTGGGAGTCCCAAGCAGGTGGTTCATTCACCATTACTAGAGACACTACTGGTGAGAGCCTTGGCAGGGGCACCAAGATTACTCTCTTTCTGAAAGAAGACCAGCTTGAATACCTTGAGGAGCGCAGATTGAAGGATTTGATCAAGAAGCACTCTGAGTTCATTAGCTACCCTATCTCCCTCTGGGTTGAGAAGACCACGGAGAAGGAAATATCTGATGATGAGGACGAGGAAGACAAGAAAGATGAGGAAGGAAAGGTCGAGGAAGTTGATGAAGAGAAGGAGAAGGCTGAAAAGAAAAAGAAGACAATCAAAGAAGTGTCTCATGAGTGGGATTTGGTGAACAAGCAGAAACCCATCTGGATGAGGAAGCCTGAGGAGATTACAAAGGAGGAATATTCTGCTTTCTATAAGAGCCTCACCAACGACTGGGAGGAGCACTTGGCTGTGAAACACTTTTCAGTTGAGGGTCAGCTTGAGTTCAAGGCGGTTCTCTTTGTTCCTAAGAGAGCACCATTTGATCTCTTTGACACCAAGAAGAAGCCCAACAACATTAAGCTTTATGTTCGACGTGTTTTTATCATGGATAACTGTGAGGAGTTGATCCCGGAGTATTTGAGCTTTGTGAAGGGTATTGTGGACTCTGAGGACTTGCCCCTCAACATCTCCCGCGAGACGTTGCAACAGAACAAGATTTTGAAGGTCATCCGCAAGAATTTGGTCAAGAAGTGCATTGAGCTCTTCTTTGAGATTGCGGAGAACAAAGAAGATTACAACAAGTTCTACGAGGCGTTCTCCAAGAACCTCAAGCTGGGTATACATGAGGATTCCCAGAACAAGACTAAGATTGCTGAATTGCTCAGATATCACTCCACCAAGAGTGGTGATGAGCTGACCAGCTTGAAGGATTATGTAACTAGGATGAAGGAAGGGCAGAATGACATCTACTACATCACTGGTGAGAGTAAGAAAGCTGTTGAGAATTCTCCCTTCCTCGAGAAGCTGAAGAAGAAGGGCTATGAAGTCCTCTACATGGTTGATGCTATCGATGAGTATGCTGTTGGTCAGTTGAAGGAATTTGAGGGCAAGAAGCTCGTTTCTGCAACCAAGGAAGGTCTCAAGCTAGATGAGAGTGAGGATGAGAAGAAAATGAAGGAAGAATTGAAGCAAAAGTTTGAGGGTCTCTGTAAGGTGATTAAGGATGTTCTTGGGGACAAAGTTGAGAAAGTTGTTGTCTCTGACCGTGTTGTTGACTCACCTTGCTGTTTGGTGACTGGAGAATATGGATGGACAGCTAACATGGAAAGAATTATGAAGGCACAGGCTCTGAGGGACTCCAGCATGTCGGGTTACATGTCGAGCAAGAAGACCATGGAAATCAACCCTGAGAACTCCATCATGGAAGAGCTTAGGAAGAGGGCTGATTCTGACAAGAATGACAAGTCTGTTAAGGATTTGGTTCTTTTGCTGTTTGAGACATCTCTGCTTACTTCCGGGTTCAGCCTTGAGGAGCCCAACACCTTTGGCAACAGGATTCACAGAATGCTCAAACTGGGTTTGAGCATTGATGACGATGCTGGTGAGGCTGATGCTGACATGCCAGCTTTGGAGGAAGCAGATGCTGATGCTGAGGGTTCCAAGATGGAAGAAGTCGATTAAGCTCTGTCATTTTGATTTTTCAAGTTATTAATTTTAGATGGAGCAATGTTATGTAATCTGTTTTTGAATGCTTTTCCAGACATGGGTTGGTTCCTTCGTTGAATGTTTACTGTTTTGTAACTGGTTCCATTACAGTTAATATATAATTTGTTCGATTCTCGCATAACTAATTCCACTTGTTAGGTTGGATATTTTATGGGTTTGTATCATACATTTCATCAATTTTTTTTTATTAAAAATCCGATTTTAAATTTCACCAAATAGCAGTGTAGATTTAGAATGATTAACGTCGCACTGAATTTTCCGACGTATTAATTTCAATTCTACGCTCACATACCTTTCCCTGTCCGCCCATCACAATATGGATAAACTGGCTAAGTTAATAGAGCATCGAATTCTTTACTTTTTGGCAATTGAATTCTGAGTCGACACAACTGGCCTTGGAACACAAAATGTTGCAAGATAGAGGCAACTATTTGTACAATGAGGTTGACAATGTGTATAGTGTAAAAAGATCATAACCATTGAATTCAAAAATAGTTTTTCAAATCAATGAGCATAATGCCTGCCAACTCACACATTGTCAAATTTATTGTACAAGTCACATGATTGAACACAAATAGATGGTGATTCGGTTGGTTTTCCCAAATATGGTACGGAAAACTCTCCTCAACCTTTTAGATTGTCCCATAGTCCAATAGTTGATCGCATCCTTATAGAAGCCAGTCATGATTGTTCGATCAACTGCTTTCATAAGAGTAGATCCTGGCTTACCAGCTCGACGTCTGAGTTCAACAAGGCATGTCACCAAAACATTCTTGGAATGATCAATCGACTAAAATGAACCTTCATGATATGTCTATTGTACTGAATTTGATGTGTCCACAGTAAAATCAACATGCAAAGTTTTGGAATGGGCCAATTGCTTTACCGCCTTTGGTTAACCCCACAATTCCTTCTAAAAACCCACCTCAATTATGGCTAAAATGGACAAAAAGTTAACAGTGTTAAGAGTTGGGCATGAAGGTTGGATAAAAGGCCTCCACTGGTGAGTGGTGAGAAATAATTTCAACAACTGATGATTGTTACGGTTTTGAGTTTTCTAACAGCAGAAGTATAAAAGCAAGCACACTTCAAAGCTCATATCAACATAGACAACTTCCATTGGAAAACAATGTACTTAAATAACGGATAACATAACACGAAGTATTAATAACATTCCAAAAAACAGCAAAAGTTCTGCAATGTAAATCTATCCGACTAACAACACACAAAATGACAGCATTTTTGGATGAGAAAATAATTAAAAAACCAAGCTAACCTTATACAAAACAACAACAAACTTAAACACAGCCGGGAACTAGGTATCCGCAACTGTTGAGTGAAAAACAAAGCTCGGGAATGTAGTGGTGATATCCCTGTTTCAAATAAGGAGGAGAAGATAATGAATCTAACTCTATCAAAGTGCGGAATATTTAGTATGCAACTCTTGAAGAGTTGAGACTTATAACAGTGACTGGTACAAGATTTGGGAGTGTTAGAGCTGTTATTTTAACTTAAAATTTTCCCAACACCGCTCATGCTACAGGTGCAGAAAATGAGTGATGTGCAAATTTTAGGTCAAACACCCCCCACCACAAAAATGCAAATGAATGAACATCAAATACCTTCTGTTTTAGATAATAATGCTATTCAGTGCACATAATAAATATCTTTTCTGAGTTGCATGCAATAATGTATATAAAATATTAGAATACAGCAAATTTTCTCTCTTATTATGGGGTAGGGGGGCAGATTGAGGAATGCAGTCAGATTTAAACAACTCAGATGCTTCAAGACATTATTCAACTAATTATAAGGCAACAGTGGTGAAAAAAAAACACTATGTTTCTCAACTAATATCCAATAGAAATGTGTGAATGCTGACTCTTGTACGTACTTGAGATATTGAAGGGTCATATTTTTCAATAACGATGGATGTCGCAAGACTAAACTTCTCCATTCTTCTTTATCGATCTTCCCATCATGCTTTGTATCAGCTTCTTCAAAAGTCTTGACATATAACGTAAACATTATCATTAGTATTTCTTGCATATGCATTATCTTCATAAAGGGAATGGGAAGGATCTTGAACTTATGCAAAAACTCCATACCCCAGTTTCTGTAGTAAATAAATATAAATAGGAAAATAGACTGATCAAAAAGTCACCTGAGCTATCTTAACGTGGCATTATTGATATTGTCCATTTGCATTTTCTACACCTAGATGACTTATCATCCTCGAAATGTCATTACATGGAAGCCAAACTTGGAGGATCATACATCTTTTTGGGGGGATTGAATTTACTAATTCATCTTTCTTGCCACATGAGCCTAGGATGGGGTTACTCAGGTGAATTGCAATCTATAAGGACATTGAATTTTAAAATAACTCTACACTCCCTTCTCTAAATGGGGGAAAAAATTGTGAAAGGGAATGATACAAATGAAATTACAGGACATAGGTTACTAAATTAGATTAATGAACCACCTTGTCAATTATGCTCTCGATGACGTCATCAGACAGGTTCATACCAGATTCAGCAAGAGTGGCAACTACCATTTGCTTCACCTACATAGTTAGAAGCCAGATATTAAACATCTCAATAAGAAATGTAAGACTTGCAAAGAATACAAGGTCAAATATTTAAGACAATAAAGAATTATTAGCATCAGTAGTCTCTCAGTTGTATACACAATTAGCTATATGGACCAGGGATTCAGGGCATATATATTATACAACAGAAAGATAATGATTCTGGGAAATGTCACACATCAACCAGAAGTTACGTAAAAAGTTTGCTGTCCCCAAAAATAATGGTACAGAAGTTACTAAATTGTAACGCGAATTTCTGGGTTGGCTTACGAGCATAGCTAAATTTACTTTTGGGGGGGGGGGGGGGGGGGGGGGGGGGATGTGAGAGTTTATAATCCCACCCAAACATGCTCGAAGAAAATTAGATCCATCAAAAAATCAAAATCCCGTGGATCCATGTAAAAGAGCTCTCCCTCAAAGGATTCTGATAAGTAACAGAATTAGCTATCAGTTACTGAAGAGGATGCAACAATCCACTTTGAACATAAAATGAAAAGGTTCGCGTCCTTTAGCTCCTCTCATTCAATTTCTTCATATAATCTGATTTAATACAAGCTTTCATATATTATACAGAAAGTTAAAGCTCGTATGGGAAGTTTTTATAACGGTTTATAATTATAAATATATAGAAAAGATTGGTGGATAAGTGAGTAGTGATTGTGGGTCTAAAAGTGATTTGACTGATTCTAAACAATTTATAAACATTAGCCAAACATAGGCTTAAAATTTTTTAGCTGGTGAAAGAGAACAATCATGAAAATTCTGTACACAAATTGTTGAACTGGAAGATAAACATTCAAGAGCTTGTTTTTCTGATTCTGGTATCAAGGCTTGACAAAGTTAGGTATCCAATAACTTACTAAGAAACAAAAATTATTAAATATTACCTCTTGCCTCTCTATGAAACCTTGTTGCTTGAGATCATACAATTGAAAAGAAACTGCAATGGTAGAGGAAAATTAAAATAAAAAGGGAAATCTGTAATTTAAGGGCGTCAATATAAAAATGATTTTCAATTACTAGAGTATCGTGTAATGCATTCAACGTACACTCAATCTTATCATCAATAGGAGCATTTGGATGGAATACAGAAAGTGCACGAGCAAATTCCTCGAAACCAAGTATTCCATTGTGTTTTGTATCGAACAAATCAAACACCTGCTTTAGTAGTATGAAAGCAGAAAATAAACCTTTTGAAGCCATTCTAAACATTAAACATAAGTATGGAGCAAAGAATGAAAAAACAGAATAATCTCAAGGTATACCGTACCATGCTCCTATAATATATTATATATATAACAAAATGCAACATGCACACATGCATATACGTGTACGCCTCCAAGCGTAAGTATTTGTTTAGCTATAAGGGCAACGTTGGATTCATTTTGTGGCGTATACCAATCGGATTGTGTGACAGAAGCACTGATTTCTTGGTGACATACAATTAAAAACTATAACGAAATTATTTACACGTTAATTTTCTATAAAAACTAAATGCTAGAAAGGTTAATAAACCATGAGAGTTGATAAAAGTAAGAGTACCCGATCAGCAAACAAACTCTCTTTTTTATTTGTCTTGAATAATGCTAGTTGAAACTCTTCCTGCAACATGGTATTGACAGATGTCATTTAACATCATAGAGGTTTTTCAAAAGGGTAACAACAACACACCAAAATGAAGAGAAAAAAGGCAAATCACAGAGGAAATTCATGCAGAAGTCATCACTGCAGGAGATTTATGAACCTTATTGATCAGACCATCATCGATCACAGCACTACTTATCTTCTTAAATAGCTCATAAAGTGCTTCAATTTCACTTACGCTAACTGCATCCAAAATATCATTACATGAAAACCAAATTCCTCAAATCACCACAGAAGATACATAGTAACACAAAACCAAGAAATAGATGTGCAGGACTTGTAAGATCTGATTATAACTCGGATTGCACAAACATAATTGGAAGCATTGCGGCAATATAAGAAATCCTGGATGACAGTCAACTACTTTGTAATATTAGAAATCTTGAACATGAGCCAGCCTTTTATGTAATATTGAAAATCATGGACGGTAGACAGACTATTAAGTTATACTGGATGGCAGTCTATTCTCATAAGATACTTAAATTTTGTCAAAATTATATGGAACATCACTAGACACTAGTTCTTTCACGTGCAAATAATCTCAATAAAACTTCAAACAATTACAAAGAAAGTGGAGGCAATAGCATACAAACAGTCTCTCTCGCAAGAATTTCAGGATCCTCGAAACTGCTCGATTGGTTACCAGGTTCACAACAATGAATAAGGGAAGCACACAAATGCTCGATACCCGCTAAGCACTGCAACATGGTATTTTGTATACATCAACACTCTACATATCTGTTCAAGTAACATCTTCTTTAAGCCAATCTACTATTGGAAAAGAGTAAATACTGATAGGAAGAAATAAAAGCAACCTTTTGACCATTCTCTGCTTCTTGTAATCAAGACAGTAAACTACCAGGAATTGATGCAAGCTGGAATTCCAAAAATCCTATACCTGAGAACCAATCTATATAAAATTATATGAAACCATCACAGAAAATTTTAGAATCATAATTTTTTATCAATTGATTGGTCCGTATTAATTTCCTTTCAACTGTTTAATCATAAGCCCCATTCTCTAAAAAATTTCAACCCATATTCACCCAATAAAATAATTTTGCTAGTAAATCCAATTTTTTTTCCCGTACTTAAACACACATTTTTCCCCAAAAAAAGAAGAAAAAAATCACTTTTTACAAAATCTATTCTCAGAAAAATGGGCGCAAACAGAAAGAAGTAAAATCAGCATATGATTGCAAGATTTGATATCACACAATCTTATAACTTGAACAGATTTAATTTCAGTATAATCCTAAATTTAACTCTTCAAGTTCACTCCTACGCTATGCTCAGATTAAATCGTATCAACAACTTACAAGCCAAAGCAACCAAAAAACAAAAAATTGTTTCAACTTCGATAATTTTGATGACGATAATGATAAAAAGACCCAGTGAGCATAATAAAAAAGATCACATCTTGTAAAAGAAAGGGATACAAAAAATATAAGAAATAAATCCTTACAACCTCTGGATTTTCAATATGGTTGTTCAGCATAAAATCTTGTGAAAGAAAAGGGTCTAAACTCTAACCTATTCGTAATCAAAATCTGATAATTAAAGCGAGAAGAGTTGATATTTGCTATTTTTAATTAATGAACTTTGAAAGAGAGTGAGCACAATACATTGGAGCAGACGAATATTTTAATTCTTTATGTTGACTGCGACTCTTGGAGGTGTTCTCTTTGTGTTTCGATTTTGTGTTTTGAGTTTTGAATTCATTTTGAATTTTGTGTTTTGAGTGTTTGCTTTGAAACTATTGAAAATGCGTTCTTTTTGTTAATTTCTCAAAACAAAAAAAATAAAATTTTTTTTTTGAAATTTTGAGAATCACCACAAGATCGCCTTAAAAACAAATATATATATATATATAATTTTTAATTTTTTTTTTAAATTTTGAGAATCACCACACTACGTCCGAAAAAAAAAGGTGTTTCCCGCGTTTTCAGTTTTTTCAAATTTTACACTGAAAACACCCAAAACGACAAAAAAGTCGTTTTGTGTTTTCTTCACAAATTTTTTTATCGTTTTCGAAAATTCGTTTTCGAAAACGGGAAAGAGAATACGTTTTCACCGTTTTGAAAAATCGAAAACAGAAAACGGCCCGAAAACGGTAAAGAAAACAGGGCCTTAGTAATCGTCGGGAATGGACTTCAAGTATCATTATTCATATTGGTAATTGTATATATAATCAATACGTTTTCATTTGATTAGTTAGCAGCATGATGCGGTAGAGATGTACGTTGTCGACACATCATTATTTACGAGCCCCATCCATATTCTACTTTGACATAGACCCTTTTACCCTCTCTCATATAAAAATAATAAAAAATTAATTTTCCATTTTTATTCTCCCGTTCGAAAATAATACAATAATTAAAAAAGAAATAGTTCCAAAATTTTTATTTATGATAGTGTTATCAGCAAAGACCATTCGATGAAAATACAAGCGCAAATCGTGATTGTCGTGGATTGAATAGCACGACTTAAAGAAGAAATGGAGATCACGTGGTGGTAAGTCGAGGGAGGGGTTCAGTATTCATCCTACATTGGAAATGAATTACTCTTATTTAAAGAGGCATTATAGAGTAAGGAAAAAATGATTGTAAGTTCTTTTTCACTTTTTAGCTTTTAACGACCACTTAATGGATATAAATATAAGAGAAAAATTAGTTGTAGAAACTATTGCAAAATAATAATGTGCATAATAGAAAACGTATTGTTCGAGACTCATGATAGTACGATGTTTTAAAATGAAATTGTCCGTCGTTTACTGTTGTGGCCTTTTTGGATAATTATTCTTAGTATATAATGATCGATTAACTTGTGCAACAATTACAAGCGATTTTCAAAACTCTCAATACCTCTAGAAAAATATCTTTTAAATCAAAATAATACTAGAAACAAGATTTTTAGAAATTATAGAAGTTGAATAATAATTTTTCAGCGTGTTTTATTTTTTCTAGACAAAGAGAAATATATATAGTCCAAGAATCTCACATTTCAAATCATAATTTAATAAAATGACTTCCAATCATCAATTGTAATTCTAACTGTCGACCTCCCATATAAACTTCACACTCTTTACCACTCAATCGTCTTAGATAATTTAATTATTTTTTTAAATAATATACTCGATACATATCTGACAATGAGATCACGAAAATTATTGTCGCTCAAAGATGTCTTGGACATAGAGGAATCAGAGAAACCAATCTTTGGCTTATTCTTTGAGTGCATAGATCTAAAACATGGTTGGGTTAAGAATTTTTCTACTTGGAAATTATAGGGGAATGATACTTTTAGATAAGAAAGTTAAATGTTCAATGACTTTCCATTTTACATATAATGTCTTTTATTTATTTTTTATTTTTTGAAATTTTCAAATGTTACCAGTCGCATTCGTATAGGCAATCTCGACAGAGTTGACGAGAATTTCAATCCATTTAAGTACTCTAATCTTCTTTGTTAGCGTAGACAACAAAATCTACCATGTGGAGAACAAAATATAGGTACTTGACTACCCTTTTTTACTTAATCGTTATAAAGACATACAAATTAATGTTAAATTTATTCAACATAACCAATGACAAGGTGAGTAAAAGTCATTTTGATATAAAAGTAATACTCGACTGAGAAATCTATTATACAAGAACTCAATACTCTTTTCTTCCCATGTAAATTATTATTATTATATTCCTTCAATTAGACATGTTTAAGAAATTGCATTAACAATGTTCCCTCATCGTTATCTATTGGATATTTGTTGAGTTGGAGGCTTTATTATAAGAAAGAGTAATCCCATTTAGCATCATTGGTGTTAAAAAAATCAGTCTAATTGACATTAAATGATATGTACAATTAAATGAGTTGCTTAATTCTATTTTTCAACGAGCCTATTACGTATCGTCGCCTAAATTGGTATTATAACACTAATGGTGCAAGAATACTTTATTTTATTCGAGAACCAACAAACACATATACTTTTTTTGTGGGCAAATTCCTTTTAACTAATTATCAAATGTTAGTACCCACTATTAATTAGTCACACATTTGATACTTAGCAGCATTATAAAGGACCGGATGAAAGATAAGATAACATTTTACCTCATTTTTTGTTAATATTGTTTACAGTATGGAGTCCATATTTTTAGAACATCCAAAAGTCCTCCGTATACCCAATGGAAAAGTTTCAATTTAAGATTACAAAATAATAAAAGGAACTATGTTAATTTAAAAACAATTTTCTCATCTCCCATCATCCACGTTCCACGAGACTATTGTCACCGGCATCACAATCATCACGACAAAAAACCCGATCCCACTGAAAATGTGCTTGGTGTACATTTTTGTGTACAAGAAGTTTGATGGTTCAATTGTAAATCTTGCATTTTTTAATAAAAATGATTTATTTAAATAAAAACATAATTATGAAAATTGACTACAAAGGACAAAGGATATGCTACACTACGAATAAATCATACAATACCTTGTATAGGGGCAAAGGTAATGGTTGACGATTGACATGTAACTGTTTGAGCTCGTTATGTGGCACACTTTTGGAATCTGCAATTGAAAATAAGCTAATAGAATATAAGGTACTCTTTTTTTGCTTAAAAAAGGAAGCAGCTAAAAGCAATGTCATTTCATATTGTTCAATATGTTGGTTACGTAACTAGAGGTGGGCACGGGTTGGTTCGATTCTAAAGAGAATCGAATCGAACCAAAATTTTCGGGTATCTAGTAAATGGAATCGTCGGGTCCAAATATAATTATGGAATCGTTCGGGTTCGATTCCGTACTATAATTAAATTTTTTAACATTTATAACAACATTATATAAATACAACTAATGACACATTCAATGATTTTGGAATGTCACAAACTAGTAGACTACCCTGTTCAAATGATTTCTACGGTCAAAGCTTCGATTGGACGCCACAGTCTCGACCGGCGATTGTATGGATTTTGGAATGTTAGCGAGGTTGCGAGAGTGAGTGCGAGAGTCAAGACAGCGTTATACACTTTAGTATAGGTATTTAGTGTTATTTAGTGGGTTTGATCTTTGTTGAGCTAAGAAATGAAACAATAAAATGAGTAATTGGACAAAAAATTAAAAAATTAGAAATGAAACAAATTATTGGGCCAAAAATTTGGATTTAGAAATTGTTAATTTGTTTAAAAAAATTAAAATGAAAATAATTTGATTTATTCAATATAAAAAAAATTTAGAAAGATTCGATTCTTAGTCTAGAACCGAGAATCGAACCGTACCCGTCGGTTCTTAATTCATATATCGGTTCAGGTATTTAATTTGACAAAAACTGTTGGGTTCGGTTCGATTTGGGAGATTTGTCCAACCCTATATGTAACCATTCGGATCAAGTAAGGATCAAATAGAAGTATTTTAATATGTCGATTTACATTGAGACAAAACGATACTGGCATATGTATGTACACGTGCTTAAAAACGACACAGTGAGAAACATACAAAGAATGCACTTGTTATCTCTATGTATTGTTCTAAATAAAAATTTTAGTCTGTCTTCTAGATAAAGGACCATAAAATAACTCAGTAACCAAATTTCTTCAGAACACAATTCACCATTTTTCAGTTGATTTCTTAAACACGATTAAAAAATTTCACAATCCAATTATCCCTCGACTTGCAAATTTAATGCAACATGGAGAGAGCACAAACCTATGAATCTGTTTTATCCGTGATTTCGTTTGAATCTAGAAATAATAGAGAAATATGCTAAGACGACACTTCGAATTTGAACGAAGAAATAAGAAGAAAAATATTGTTTTCAAATATGTCAATTGGCCAAATGCGAAACAAGTATCTCCGAATGAACGAAAGAAGCACTTTAAAGAATGAATATTATTGAGATTTCGAGACGAAATAATTTCTTTTCTATCAAAATATCCAACAAGATGCAAAGGAAAAAAAAAAAACTCAGAATTTGCTTATTTAAATTAAATGTCGAAAGCCGAATGTAACACTTTAGTTATTTCATCCTGAAACACTTTAGTTGATTGAAACATTTAGCCCATGTTTAGTTCAACTATAAAAGTAAGTTTTAATTTAAGTCAAAATTAATATTTAATTTTAAGCATGTATTTCATGAGATACACTATCTTTCAACCGCACATTTCATCAACTTTTATTAATATTTATCTAAAATATGATTTTTATCTATTCCAAACTGGGGCTTAATATAATTTGCACACAACATATTTCTACCTGTAAATTATAATAATGAATGTTTTTATGGTTTTTCAATATATATTGACTCGTTAACAAAAAGAGAGACAAATGGGTTGATTTAATGCGCCTTTAGTGGGAAGTGGAGAAATAACAAAGTTTCGAACCGGAGGAAGTTGACCATCGATTGAATTGAACATAAAGGTAGCAGTCTTGAATTACATAATCACAAATGCCGGCAGTCCCAACAATTTAAACAAAATCAAACTCAATTAATACTCTGTGAGTCATGGGCGGCGAGTCACGTTACGAGATCCACCAAAATGCCTACATGAAGCTCGTCCTCCACGCCGTGAAACACAGGAACTCCGCCGTCAACGGTGTCCTCCTTGGTCGTTCCTCAGCCGACGGCGATTCCGTCGAGATCGTCGACTCCGTCCCCCTTTTTCATTCCCAGATCGGCCTCCTCCCTCCACTCGAAATCGCTCTTATCATGGTCTTTCATCAGTCAACACTCAATACTCTACACTTATTCATTTTTTTCCCTTAATTCTGATATATATATTTTCTTAAATTGAAAAATAATAGATAGAGGAGTATTATGCGGAAAAAGGCTTGACTGTAGCTGGATATTTTCACGCTAATGAGAGATACGATGATTTCGAGCTTGCTACTGTCGCTAAGAATACTGGCGATCACATTACTCGATATTTTCCACAGGCTGCTTTGCTTCTGGTACTTTTTCTCGACCGAATTTTGTGCATAAATGTTTAGATCCTTGAGATTTAGCGAGCGAAGAAAGGCGTTTTCAACTGTATGATTTTTCAGTTAGATAACAAAAAGCTCGAGGCTTTACCAAAGGGAAAAGACCGGAGACCAGTGATGCAGGTAATTTAATTTTCGACCCTGACTAGTTCGCTTAGAATATTAGCTGATAATGCAGTTTGGTGAACGGAAAATATGTTCAGTAGCTGGTGCAAATGTTTATTGGCCATTGTTTGGTGATCTTTTTAGTGGTTGTTCATCGAGATTGATCGGAATGGTTGGTCCTGGATAAAATTTAATGTGAAATTAGGATTGTCATTAACTTATTGTTTGCAATTAGTTACCCATTTTGGTTGTTGACGCAATGAGAGGAGATTCATATAACTAGTAGTGTTGTTGGGGGAGTGGTAAACTGTGGATGCAATCTTCTGTGAATTTAAGATACTTATTATTTGCAGTTAGTGACTGAAATTTGGATATTCATGTTTGTGAAGAGAATTTCAGTCTATTAGTGTTATCTGACAATTTTCTAAATTAATAAGCGAGGCTGCTTTATGCTGTGTAATCTTGTATTGTAAAGGATCCCAATTCCTTTTATGGAAAGGCCGTCTTGCAGTTTATAAGTCCATGTGAATGGCTCTGGAGCAACTTTTCTTTAATAGTTAACAATAGTATCATGGATAGTTTCTATCTTTGACACTAGAGACAAATTAAACAGACTGTTGTCGCATGTATTGTTAAGTGGTGGACTGGTGGCAGAATGAGGCTGATGGAGTTGGAATTTCTTTCTAAAATTTTTGATATTTTTATTGAAATTCCAAAAGTTAGTGCTGCAACTTAATTTTTTGGCTAATTCTATCTGCCTTCCAAAACTGAATCTTATAGTTTTGTAATGCAAGCATAAATTGACATTTGGACAGAGGATCCCACATTTGTGCCTGTGATCTGAAAGTGCTCACGTCATTCAATGTGTCTGCATTATCTTTCTAACTAAATGTTGCTCACATTCATTAGCAAGTATGTACACATGCCCTCTCTATCAACATATAGACATCTATTTTAGGGTAATGATTCGGGGTTAAGTTTACAAATTTTTTATCACTGTAGTAAATTGGTGTGATGAACTATCCTGTTGAAATTTTACAGATATGTCTTCCTGGAAAAAGAACCTTTTCTTGTTATTTGTTTTCCTGTTCAGATCTTTTTATCGAATTAGTTTTTTCAGACTAATGAAGCAAATAATGCTTTGATGATTTAGAGCCCTGGTTTCTTTAGGCAAGAACATGTGACATTCGTTTATGTTAGGGTTTTTTTGGGGCACCTGGCATTCAAGAAAGAACTTTATGGCAGTATTCAGAATTTTATATCTGATTTATTCTGTCAAACAAATGAAAAATAATTTTGGAGTCTTGATTTCTTTAGGTGTGAACATGGTGCATCCATTCACCTTTGTTTTTTTGGGAACACCAGGAACCATCCTTCTTGCCACACCTGGTGATTTCTTGTGTTGCATATTTTGTGCCATTCATCTAGTTTCATACTTTTATATTGATACATCAGATACTTCATTTCATTCTTTTTGCTATGTTTATGGTGTTTTATTACGTAGTCATTCTTTGGTGCTTGTATCATTGCTGCATGTATGAATAAGTCAAATTTATTCCATTTCGCCTCCACTTCGATTCTGTCCCTCTCTATGTTCGCATGGATAGAAATGTGCATGTGCTCACTCTATATTTTTCTTCAATTTGAACTAAGAGCTTTTCAAAATGATGTGCCCCTCATATCCTTCTTCGTTGTCCAGCTTTACATTAAGGATGCATCTAGAAGTTGGAAGTTGGTAGGGTCAGAGGGAGGCAATCAGCTTAGTATCAAGGAGCCCTCCGGAAATATAGTTCTTCTGGATTACCTTGCATCTGAAAAATGGAAGGATATCATAGATTTTGACGACCACCTTGATGACATCAGCAAGTAAGAGCCACATACTAGTCTCTTCTTCGTATTTGTTTTGTATCAGGAGATTTTTGTGCTGCCACAGACACAAATTAATGTCTGCTATCGGCTATGTACTTTTCTTGTTAGGGACTGGCTGAATTCAGAACTTTTCCAGTAACTTTTGACGGGGAAAGGAAGACATCTTTGTTTCACACAAACTGGTGCTACGCTATTCTTCTCTGCTCAGTTTTTTTTTTGGAAGACTAGCCCATAAAACTTAGATGAACATCAAATTCTGTTTGCAGGGAATTTTATTTATGTACCATATTGATATATTTATCCGTTTCTTGATATGATGACACATCTCCATTCAGAGATTCCTGAATTCTAAATTATCCGTAACTCTTAAATTTGTTTCTTACAGGGTTGATTCAGAACTATTCATCTTTTCATCATTCTTCTTGTTTTGAAACTCTATTCTACTTTATTCACTTAACGGCACATTTGGTACACTCTTGGATACACGACAATATACAGAATTTCAACTCTTTTATTTTCTCTATAATATCGTCGAAGTGTGTCCACCGTAATTCAATTGTATTTCATAGGGTACTTGTGGTGATGAATAGATGCTATGAAATAATGATCCTGTGGACACATCTATTTCTTGTTATTTAATGCATTGAATAAATGTTTATATTGAGATGGGTGACGCTACACATACATTAGGGTATCCATAACGATGTCCACCCCCTTACATGAAGGGGACCAACTTCGAATTATTGGGATACCTCAACCTTAATTTGATCTGATTTCAATGTGTCAAAACATTACTATTGGGCCAAATGCAAGTTCTCATGTACATTGTTAAATCAAAGAATAATGATACTTAGTAGTATTTGTTTGTGTCCCATTATTTGTGAATAATATATTATGGAATAGTGATTGTGTTGAAATGTGTGGTTAAAAAGAAAGAAATTTTTTTTATTTACGTGTAATATTATTTTAGTGAAGAATGTGTGGTTGAAAATGAGTACTGTAGAAAAATAATGTGACAGAATGTAAAAGAATGGTAGACAAAACAAAGCTTTAATAGATAATACAATATAAAACTCCGATGCTTTAAAAATTAATCGACTTCAATTTAGAGAAAAGTAATAAATATTGTGAACTTTGATCTGTAACCTTTTAGTTCCTGTTTGGCTCTAAATGTTTAAAATTTATTTTTATACATTTATGAAATTCACAATGTTTAATAACTTTTTAATTATACATTACCTAAACTTTTATCAAAAATTACTATAAGCTTGAGCATGACTAAATAAATTTATGAAAGTATTTTATCTAACTAGGAGCATGTTTGATTTGGATTGTACAAAATTTCCGAACCGAACCAAGCGGTCTTCTTCAGTTAAATCTTCGAACGGATATTTAAATTGAGAACCGATGTGTTCAATTTGATTCTTGGTTTTAGATTAATAATCGAATAATCGAATTTTCTTAATTTTTTAATTAATTAATTTTAAATCAGCCAAATTATTTTATTTATTTTTAAATAAATTTACTAACTAGTTAATATAGCTCAAATTCAAATATACGATTTTTCATATTTATAGTTTTTAATACGAAGTCAAATCAATCAAATTAACCTAAATTTTATCCAAATCTGTTACTCTATCGTATGTTGTTTCTACCATTCTAAAGAAATCGGCATGAAGCTCGACAAGCTCGCTTAATTAGTGTGGATTCGCTATCTTCCTCTTCTTGTGATTTTAACAATTAAATTCATGAAGAACTCAACAAAGAGAGACGTAAAAGACACATAAAATTGGAATACGTTAATTTGTAAGAGATAATATTAAATATATTATTAATTGAATTAGTGTAATTTTGTAAATATTAAAAAATTTAATTATAATATAGATACTAGGAATCGAATGAAATCGAACTGAACCGAATCGAATCGAATCAAATAGAATTGAACCCGAATGGTTGCATAATTAAATTTGGACCCACGGTTCCACTTATTAAATACTTGAAAATTTCAGGCTCGATTCGGTTCTAACGAGAGTTGTACCGAATCGGACCATATCCAACCCTAATTTAGATTAAAATATGATTTTAATTTAAATCAAAGTCAAACAATCAATATTAACTCATCTTTTATTGGTTCCACAACTTTTCGACCAAACATTTTAAAAATTTTCATCATAGTCTATTAAAAAAATCTAATTTTAATGCCCATCAAACATTCTCTAGATGAATTTACAGGCAATGTTGGCCTAAAAAAAAATTTCTACAAGAAGAAATAGCAAAATTTAAAACCCTTCAAAACTATCCTTAATGTAAAGAAAGCCTATATAAAACCCCCTATTACATTAATTATTCTAATTGTACAATCTTGTTTTACAACTTGATTAACAATTGATTAGGAATGGGGATTCACACCATTGATTAAAAAAAAGTTTTGAAACGTGTGGTGGGAACTACTGTCAACTCAATGATTGTAAATCAAAGTCGATTGTAGACATAGCATGCAAGTGGCTGGCTAGCTACCATTACTTTGATAACTCAAAAAGGAAATATATTACATAAGCTGTCTTCTTTAAAAAACCAAAAACCCTAAAATCCCCAATAAGTCTGTTTCTCCGTCCTCCCCGTTTCTGTGCATTTTTTTTAAATAGGATTAACCCCAGAGGAAGGCCTTCCAGAAATTCTCAACGAGTACCAGGGACGACCCCAGGCTGAACTGGTCGGAAATAGTTTTCAACTAGCAATAGACGAGCCTGCTTAGGAATCTAAAGAAGATGGAGGAGCAGAAAACGCCAAAGATTTCAGTCTGGGACTTGCCGGATGTTCCCAAAGGAAAGCTGCCGCCTCATCTTGAAATCCAGAGAACTCGCGTTCTCTGCACTTCAGATGCCCCGACTCATGTACACACACACTGGAAGATTTCATATTTTTATTTTTAGTTTACTTTTACCAATTTTGTTGCACTGAATATATTATTATTATTTTTTGGAATAAAAGACAGAGAATATACGCTACTCGGGTGCCTATGCATCGATGGGAGTGGATAACAGCTTGCAATTGGAACATTTTCATGATAATTTTAGACTGGAAGTTATTAGACTTAATGAGGATGATATGGAGTTCGATATGATTGGGATTGATGCTGCTCTCGCTAACGCATTACGCAGAATCCTCATAGCCGAGGTTTGCTAGGAAAATCAGTATATAGATTAAGATAAATAATACATGAATTCTTGTATTGGTCATATTAGTTTGCGGTAGTTTTCCAACACATTGTTTGTGATTCCTTAACTGTATTTAGTTTGCTTTGTTAATGTGAGTATCAGTTATGTATCTTGTTTTGCATTTTGAAGAAAAAAAAGGTTCACTATTTTCTCCAAAACGGAGTTGGAGAATAAATAAAAGGTGAAAGAAACTGGTACTTTTGCATCCAATGAGGATTGTCGTGAATTGGTTTCTGTTGGAAATTTTGGTGGTATTTATGATGGAATTAGGAAGGGTCAGAATTTTGCAGTTTGATTAGACCAAACTTGATGAATTTATTATTATTATTATTATTTCATTTTTGAATGGAACTCATTTTATTTATTTACTTGTAAGATTCACTAATTCAGAAAATGGTGGATATTAGAAATTGCATAGTAAAGGTATAATTTGAACAGGCCATTAAAGTTTTCTATGCGAGCACTACAAAGTAACACCCTCTCAGTTTGCCTGATTTCTGAAATGTAAGTCTTGATAGATGCTCTGATTTGAACTAGTTAACTTAAGTGGCTGATTAAGAAATTTTATTATTAGGACTGGTTTTTATGTTTTGTACTTTTCTTTCGAATTTATTTAGTACATGATGCACATACCCTACTTATTGGCTCCTATATGTAAATGATTTTAAAATTTCTAGTGATATAATTGTGTTCCTAAATTTGCAATAATGCATGCATTAGTTTTAAGTTATATGGTATCTTAAAGTGTTGGATAATATACATTAAGGATTATTATCTGGTCACTTTGCAAGGATGGTCAATGACAATTATATAACCTCAACTCTTCTATCGTTAAGTTTTCTTTGTTTTATTTGCTTGCAAATGAATTGCATCATTAGTTTGTTCTTGTTCTATTATTTACTACTTGTTTTCGACCCATTTTAGGTCTCGAGTAGTAAATTTGATTTTTAATTTTTAGATGGTTTATGGTTTATTACAAGTGTTATTTCTTTTTCTTTCTTTGTTTTTGTTTTTTTTGGATGAAATTTTGAATTATTTTATTAGTTTATGCTGAGACTTATGCCTCGCCTAACGAAGGCAAAACACCCTAATACACGATTTTTCCTTTTTAAACATGATGGTAATGGATAATTTATAAGTGGCAAATAATGTCTTTGGGGGTGCTTAAGTACTTTGACAGATTCTGTGTTCTTCTTAGCACATGGATTATGAAATTTTTTTATTTTTTGCCAATATTTTAGCTTTGTAATTGGAACGTACTGAGTTCTTGTAAGATAGCTTTTTACTCTAGGAATTAGGATACAAGGTACTTGGTGCATATGCTTGAACACACTTATTGTCTCGTTCTTTATTTTAAATGCATTTGACATTCTTCTACGATGGTTAGTTGTGGCAATATATTAGCATTTTAGATGGGAGTGATTGAGTTCTTGTAAGATAGCTTCTTACGCATAGAATTAGGATACATGATACTTGGTGTATATGCTTTGAGCACACTCAATTCAGTTTCTTTCTTTATTAAAAAATGTCTTGATTCGCAAGACTGCATTAGCCAATGTTCTATATGCATTTGATATTTTTCGAGTGTGAAGCTAACTGTTTTTCCCCCTTTTGGTGTGTGTGTTTCTATATAGCTTCCCACTATGGCTATTGAAAAGGTCTTGATTGCAAACAACACATCTGTTATCCAAGATGAGGTTCTTGCCCATAGACTGGGTCTCATTCCACTTAAAGTTGATCCAAGGATGTTTGAATATATGTCAGGTTTTACCTCTTCCGAGTTGGTTTGTTTGATTTTTTCATCTTCAATTCTTACCTTCTCTTAATTCTTTCTTCTGTTGACGGGCAAGTTTGATGGTTGAGTTGTTTCATTTTTCCAGAAAATGATGTACCTAATGAAAAGAACACCATTGTATTCAAACTTCATAGTCGTTGTGAAAGGGGCAGTTCACGGATTAAAGGTATTATGTACATATCAGTTAATGAAGATCACGGGTCTGTTTCAATGTATGTTATCAATTACCATTTCATTTCTTTTGTTTTACTAACCGATGCAGTGTTTCTTTCTCTGTCGTTGGATACAGTATTGTCCAATGAGCTACAGTGGCTACCTAGAGGCAGTGAGCTCGCCCTGAGCACAGAAAAACCGGCTGTGGATCCAACTTCAAGGCCCAGAACTTATACTTCATTCAATTGTAGCCAAGACTCTCTACCAGAATTTTCCAACAACCCAATAGGCCCCAAGCATGCCGATATTATTATAGCCAAACTGGGACCTGGACAGGTAGGAATTGACCCTTTTTTTAAGCCTTAAGGTTATAATTTTTTCATCAATATGCCTTGTGAATGAACCTATCATCATTCATCCTTTTGGCTCATTCATATTGTGTTCTTGTATGTTTGGGCTTTGGGCTACTATCTAGTACATTTGAATCCTCATAAACATTTTCGTTGATGAGATTATCTGATTGCAGAAAACATCAGCAAGCAAACATATAGCCTATGTTTGGCCTCCATTTTTTCCAAACACTCATTTTCCCAAAATTCATTTTCAACCACACATTTTTCCATAAAATAGTTTTGCACGTAAACCCAAAACTTTTCCTTATTTTTTAATCACATTCTCAAAAAAAATTACTATTCCAAAATATATTTTCCCCCAAAAATGGGGCTCAAACAGGGGGATAATTTCATCGTTCATCTATACTGTGCTAATTTATTATTCGATGACAAATCTTGTGCAGTTGAAGAAAGTTGGTTGGCAACTGATTTGTTTTATGTAAAAGATTGGTTTTCTACCTTATTGAGAATTTTATGCTGCTTGATTCCAGGAAATTGAGTTGGAGGCGCATGCTGTGAAAGGCATGGGTAAGACACATGCGAAGTGGTCCCCTGTTGCCACTGCGTGGTATAGGATGCTTCCTGAGGTATTAAAAACTTTCCTGCTTGTTATTATTACTTCCTCCTTTAAAAGGGAAAAAATGGTTAATTTTGCTAAAATATTAGTCATGTGTTGTATCTGATTATTGCGCTGGTTGTCTGCGTATGAAGTCGAAGTTATAAAGATCTGAGTTGCCTATCTGTATAGGTTGTGTTGTTGCAAGAAGTAGAAGGTGAAAAGGCAGAAGAACTTGTAAAGAAATGTCCCGTTAAAGTATTTGACATTGAAGATATTGGTAAAGGTAAGAATAGATGATGCTGGTGCCTTTTGAAGTGTTCTCTAAATATGTTAAAAGGCAAATCCAATTGCATAACTGTTATTATTGACTTTTGTGAAATGGATAAAAATTATAAGTTGCATAACAAAAGGGGGTGTATGTTATTATGGTTCTGTGACTTTTTCTCTACTCTCAAGTAGGTAGAAGAGAGAGCAAAAAGGAGAGTGAATTATTGTTCTTGACTTTTTTCCAACTCTCAAGTAGGTAGAAAGAGAGCAACAGTGGCACGACCTCGGTCTTGTACGCTTTGCAGGGAATGTATCCGAGGAGATGATTGGGATAAGTATGTTACATTGCGACGTGTGAAAGATCATTTCATCTGTAAGTGAAGTATTGAAGCCTATTTAATAGCTGCTACTAATTGAATGTCATTCAGAGTTCCCAATTATTATTTTACAAGTAGCTCGAGCTTGCATGGTTTATCTGTTAAAAGTTTGAAAGACAGAACGGTTCCATCTATTCCATTCTATAGCTGCCACTAATTGATTGTCTTTCAGAGTTACTCATTATTTTACAAGTGGCTCGAGCTTGCATGGTTTATCTGTTAAACTTTTGAAGGCATAACTATTTCATTTTGGAAGTATTGAAAAACATTATGGGTTTGCTCAAACTTTGTTTCCTGTTTGTGGATTATTTCAAGTAGTTATATTCTGCTGCTATATTTTGATTGTTGAGGAAGAATAAAATGTTCCAAAAACGTCCAGTCTAATGGTCCAAAGTTACCCTGAAGCAACAGTGTTAACAGTTCATATAATTTTTCCTGCTCTCTGGATAGTCATGGCTCATGAAAGATAATTTTCTCGCTGTAAAACAAAAAAAGTCAAGGCTTTCACATCATACACTGTAAAAAATTAACTTCAAAGAATTTTGTCTTATCTGTGTACCACTTTTCAGTAACCGGACTTCATTGAATGTGCTATATCATATTATGTGGGTTTCCAACCAAGTTCTGCCTTTCAAATGCTGGTGTTGGAGTATTTCAGTTTAAGTAGGGAGTGTAGGATGAGACTTCTAGTTACAGAAAAGTAACGAGGAAAGAGTTTTGCTGTTGTTAGATGTTGATTTAATCATCACCGGCGTCTATTAGTTTTGCAAATTTCGAATCTTGTGATAAAAATCTTATATATCTTCGCATTCTACTTCTGTAGTTACTATAGAGTCTACTGGAGCATTACCTCCTGAAGTGCTGTTCACTGAAGCTGTGAAGATTTTGGAAGGCAAGTGTGAGCGAGTGATAACCGAGCTCTCATGAGGGGTCCGCAAAGGAAGACTTGGCATATCACTAAGGCGTGCACCTGCTAATAATGTAATATTTTATTTTCCTGAAATTTTATGACACCCAAATTCATGATGTCATGATTTTTCCCCTCTCTTTCGAGGTCATGGCCATGGGTAACATGAACAAATAATTATTGAGTCGCGCCCTTTTGAAATGATGAGTATGCATCAGTGATGAGTATGCATCAGTTCTCAACCTTGACTATTAGAGTATTTCCAAGAGATTATCTATTTTTAAAGAGCATATTCTATCATTTGGAGAATATTTATAAATTTAAAGAGTTATAATTTTGAAGTGCTCTACCGAGCTCTTTATATTTAATACTTAATGTTATTACTCCCAAAAAAATATTTATAATTTTTCTATATATTTTATATTAATTAATTTTTTTGGATTATTTTATTATTTTCTTACATTGAAAACTGAAATATTTTGAACCTTCGCTAAAATAAAATGGTAATTTAAAGTCTCTTGAAACATGATTTTAAGTATTTATTCTTTAAAATAAAGAGTATATTATATTTAAGTGGAAATTACACAAAATCATACATTAAAAATACAACATTCTAAAATCAGATGGCAAGTTTAACAATTCAAAAATTAGATTTTTTTTATACCACCCCACCCCACCCCTAAATCGATTCATTCTCGCCTCCATCCTCTCTCTCTCTCCCCCTCCCTTCATTATCAAACGGAATCTGTTGCTGCAGCCACGACAACGATGTTGTCGTCGTCGGTGGTCTTATTGGCAGTGGTGGTAAGGTTGAGGTGATGATTGTGGCGTCGATTTTGGGTGGCATAGCTTGCAGCAACAGCGCCATTTCTGTAGTGGTAGAAGTCAATCGGAGTTTCAATGGTGTTGGATCTAAATTTGTGGTGGCTATGGAGTGATTTTGGGGTGTGGCTGTGGTGTGACGAGATGGTGCACGCGGTGGCGGGTTTAGGGATTTTGTGGTGGTGTTGACGGTGGCATTGGTGGTTGTGTTGTGTTCATTGATGATGTTTTGGTGCTATAGTCGTGGCTATGGTTGCTGTGGTGGTGATGTACGGTGCGATGGTGTGGTGCGGCGCTGTTAGGTTCTGTGAAGAGGCCGATGCCGTGGGCGGCTCTATGGTGGTGGTGTTTGTGCGGTAACGATTTTGTGGTGGCTATTGTGGTGGCGGTGGTGTTTGTGTGGTGACGGTGCAGTGGGCCGCACTGTGGTGGTGACGATGCTGTGGGCCGCGCTGTGGTGGTGGTGGTGTTTGTGTGGTAACGGTGCTGTGGGCTGCCTGTGGTGGTGATGATGTTCGTGTGGTGGATCTGACGGTTTGAGTGGGTTTTGTGCAGGTGACTGTGAACCTGCGATGGTGGTGATGGTGTTTTGTGTGGTAGTGATGATGGTTTTGTTTGGTGGCGATTTTGTGGAGGCGACTCTGAATCTGAGATGGTGTTGATGGTGGTATGTTGTGGTGTTGATAGGTTGCATAAGGTGGTGGTGGTTGTGCTTCGTTGAGGGAGTGACAGTAATTGGTTAACCTGTGACATTAAATTGGTTGACCTATAAAATTTTTGATTAGTGGTCACACAAGGGGGTGACATTAAATTGATTAACATGTGATCAATAAACAATATGTGATCACTAAAAATGATAAATTATGATCGAGAATAGTGTGTGACCTAAAAATAATAATATGTGACTTATAATATTTGTAATATGTGACTTATGTGATCAACAAACAAATCGTGACCTACAAAATTTTTGAATTGTGACCTTAAAAAATCTTCATTTGCGATCGAAAAATAATTTGTGACTTATAAATTTTTTGATTTGTGGCCAATAAATTGATAAGCGTGACTAAAAATTAATTCGTAACTAAAATCAATAAATAATACGTGACCTAAAAATTGTGTTTGTGATTTATAATTTATTGATTCGTGATCGAAAAATTAATCTGTAACCTATAAAATTTGTGTTTATGACTTATAATTTATTGAGTTGTGATCGAAAAATTAATCTGTGATCTATAAAATTTTTAATTCGTGATCGAAAAATAATATGTGACCTATAAAATTTTTAATTTGTAACCGAAAAATAAGTTGTGACCAATAATATGATAAGTCGTGACTAATTATTTTTGGATTTGTGATCAATAAACAAATTGTGACTTACAAAATTTTTGAATTGTGATTGTAAAAAAATTTGTAACATAAAATTTATAAAATTTTTGATTTTTGATGAAAAAATAATAAGTAACTAATTATATTATTAATTTGTGACCAAATTATGTAGATCTGTGACCTAAATATATTTAATTAATAAAATAATTAATTAACTAATTAAATTATAAATAATTTTTAATAAAAATCTGATTTAAGAAATTTGAAACTTGTTTTCTTATTTTTGAAATGTGTCATAATTTATTTCTTAGTTATGAAATTTTCCCTATATTTAAAGAGTCTATTGAAGACGCTTTTATATGGTACATTTGTATTTATCAAAAACCTAGACTATTGTTCGCTAACAAGTTGATCTTCAATCTTTAAAAAGGAATAAATTGGTCTTAACCTTTCAACAACCAATGGTCAATGATGAAAATCATTTAAGGCATCATTTGTTTCTTAGTTTTGGAAGAATGAGAATGAAAATTTTCATATAAAAGATAAAAATTCAAATTTGGTGGCTTAATGTAATAGATAACGATCATATTTCTTATTTTAATGAAGAAATAATCAGTAACAAACGGGGGCTAAATCTTTGTTAAATTGTTGTGTAATTCTTGTGAAAATTTGTTTTAATTGGAATTTTTGGACATTAGTCCATGTTAAAGAAAAATTTACTTTCATAATGTTAGATACGCAGTTGGAGTGTTGCTTGATGATTTTACATCATTAGAGAGATTATGCAATTAAAATAAAGTGAAAATTGCAGTAGTGGTTCTTCACTTTTTATTTTTTTGTAAATTTTATCCTAATCTTTAATTTGTATCAATAGAGGTCCTAACCTTTGAAAAATTCGCACTTGAGATCCAAATGAATGGTTTGGCCGTTAGTTGACCAAAAAAATTAATTTTGACCAACTTTAAAAAGGGTAAAATGGTAATCTTTCTATTTATTCCCATAAAATAACTAAAACAAAATAAAAAGAAAAGAAAAAAAAACTAATCATCCATCGTCTTCATCCCACACCACCCCATACTACTTTAACTAGCTTGCGATATTTTTCGAATCAATATCTTACAATAAGCAATCATTTTAAAATCCAACAAAAATTTTATTTAAATAAACAAGAAACAACAGGATCTAGATGAAAATTCTATTTTATTGTATACAAAATTTCATTCACATGGTGATCATAAATATAACAGTATAAATACCTTAATTTAATTGTCGTAAATAATATTTGCTCCAAAGTTTAGAATGAATGAGCATTGAAAAATGGGAAGGACCACATAACAGGTCATTAGCAAGTTAGTTAAAGGGCTTTAAATGGAAAATAATGGGTAGTGTGGGCCCCAAGCATGAGGGACAGGTTGGAGCATTTGAAGGGCCCACGTATTGATTCAGACCCTTGTGTTTGGGACAAAATACAATCAAATTATTGAACGTGGAAAGCTTTACTTTACCCCTTCTTTGACCCCCCAACCCTCTCCCTTACACAACACGAGGAAAATTTCACTGGAAGTCACACAAATTAGAAGTTTATTTCATGCTGGTCACTTGGGTTCGATCCATTTTCAGTTTGATCAACTAATTTAAATTTTTACATCAATTTGACCAACATCACAAAAACTAATTGTTCTTCATATGTGATTGATACAATGTACTTTTTGACGCTAGATTAATAATTAACTAGCCAACAAACGAAAGAGAATTGCATTAAGACGAACTTAAAGTTATTTATGTGTTTGTCGTTAACAAAATCCACTTAGCCCATGTTTGATCCTCATTACGTAGAAAAATTAAGAGGGAGAATAGTGTTTTTTTGAAAAATGAGTGGTTAAAAAAGAATGAAAAGTTTTCGATTTACGTGTAATATTATTTTATGAAAAATTGTGTCGTTCAAAATAAGAGAAAGAAAAATAAAATATAATAGAATTTAATGTAATGTGACTCAAATAAGGGCTTAGTTTTGTTGTAGGTCATGCAATTTCTTAGCCTTATCGGATCGTGTAAGGTTTGATCTTATAGCAGAACAAAACAAATCGAAATTAAGTGATCACTGTGTAACAAACTTCTAAGTTGGGAGATTTCCAAGGAAATACACACACACACTCTCTCTCTCTCTCTCACACACACACACACACATTCAAGAGAAACTACGTTGGTATTGGTATTGGTATTGGTATAGGTAGAGGTATAGGTATAATCCATAGGCCAACCAAAGTCACCCAACCAACCCTCTCTTTCAACGATCTCAATACCTTCTCTCTCCCTCATTCAATCCACACATTTTAGGAGGAAGTGGAAGTGTCGCATTCCTTTTTCTCTCTCTACAGTTTTGAGTGCTCTCTTTTCTTGATTTTTTCCCCTCATTTGCTAAAGCAGAGAAAATGAGAACCCTAAAGTTCCGATCTTTGTGACTTCAGATACTTTCTTTTAGCTGTGGGCTGCTTTTTTGCATTACTTTTGAACTGGTCCAGTGATTTGCTAGGTTGGTTTTTCTTCTCCATACCCCTATCTGCCTTTTTTTTTTTTTAGCATTCTGTCTCTTCGTGTGGGGTTTTCTGGATCCCTGTTGGTAGGGTTTTTACAGAAAAGTTGTGGTTCTTTGCTCAAGATCTGCGTGCTGTTTATGGGCCCAATCTTTTTTCTACTCTTTATCTGCTGAACTTTGTGCATATCTTTTGTTATGTAATGAATTTTTTCTTTGAGGAACTGCATTATGTTCTATGAGTTTATTGAGTCTTTTTTGTGCAATTTGATGGTGATTTGGAGCACTGGGGCTTCTGTCTATGAAAATTAAGCTTTTGGCTAAAAAGATTGCATCTTGAGGTAAACGAAAGTGTTTCCTGTTCGTGGTGGATAGGGTATCGAATTTGTTTTTCTTTGATTGCTATTATGCATCTACATGTTAATCAGCGTTCACATCTCTACATTCATTGTGTTTATTTTAATCAGAAAAGGGGAAAAAAAAAAAAAAAGAAGAAGAAGGAGATTTTAGTTTTGTTCAAATAAGATCTTTTTTTCACAAGTGAGTATTTTTGCTGGATTTATGATTTGGATGTTGGATTTCGTTTTTAAAGACAAAATTTTTAACCCTTCTTTTAATTTTCTCTTTGTTAGGCTGCCTAAAATGCTATCTTGATATTTCTTCTGTTTGGGTAGTTTATCTGCATTATCCTGGTAGGTACCTGCGAGCTTTATATTGGATTGGAGACAATAATGTTCGATTTTGATGCTGGAAGTCAAATATTGAATCTAGGCGATGAGTAATGGGTTTGTTTGTTACGACTAATTTAAGGATCCTGTATTTATTCTAATGGCGTCTGAATCTAGCACCAAGTTTTTCTCAGATAAGCAGAGCAAAATACATGGAACCCAAGCCTTAGCAGGAAATCCTCGCAAGGCTTCACCTTTGCCGATTTGTAAGACTGGAAAATTTGAGGCTACCGTGACAGAATCATCTAGAAATGTTGAAGCTGTTTCTTCTATGAAAATTGCAGTTGCAGCTGCAGGGGAAAAGAAGTTACATAATCATCAGCAAAAGGTGTCAGTCAGTTCTGTAGCTGATAAACTGGATTCCAGCTTGCAGTTGGGTAACTCAAAACAAGCACTAACACTTGAGAATACTTTTGGTCAGGAAAAGAAAACATCAGGTTATGCAATTATCAAGGATAGCTCAGCATCTGCTAAAGTGAGCGATGGAGCTAACAGTATTGCGAAAACAAGCGGAAGTGCCAAAATCAGTGATAGGCTTGATTTTGTTGAGAGTGGAAAGAGCAGTTTGTGTAGGGGTAGCACGAGTACTGACATAAGTGACGAAAGTACTTGTAGCAGCCTGAGTAGCAGCATTAACAAACCTCATAAAGCAAATGACATGAGATGGGAAGCCATACAAGTGATACGATTGAAGGATGGTGCCTTAGATTTGAGGCATTTCAGATTGTTAAAGAAGTTGGGCTGTGGAGATATTGGAAGCGTCTATCTTTCGGAATTATGTGGTACGAAGTGCTATTTTGCCATGAAGGTCATGGATAAAGCATCACTAGCAAGTCGTAAGAAACTTTTGCGTGCCCAGACAGAAAGAGAAATACTGCAGTCTCTTGATCACCCCTTTCTTCCAACTTTATATACTCATTTCGAGACAGAGAAGTTCTCATGTTTGGTTATGGAGTTCTGCCCAGGAGGTGATCTGCACACACTTCGGCAGAGGCAACAAGGAAAGCATTTTACTGAACAGGCAGTGAAGTACGACACTTGTCCCAACTAATAGTCTCAATATTCTTGATATGCATCATGAATTGTGTTGTATTGCATACTAATTTCTGCATGCTTTTGTGCTCGTGGACAGAGAAAATGGTTACTTTCATTCTTGTGAGAGTTGCAATGTTTTTTGTTGAATCTACTTAGGAAATGGGGAAGTAGTAAGTTGTTGAGCCATCTACACTATCAGGCTTTCTTGAGTCTTCATAAAGTATTCTTTACTTTTTAAAGCTAAAAACAGTAGGAAGTGATAATGTGATTATCTATAAACCATCACTATCTGGAATGCTGCCTCAATTTGGGCCAAAATAGAAATGATCTTCTGATTTCCTCATAGCTGCCAAATTCTTTTCTACTAGTTTGTGTTTGGAAGTATAGATGCTAAATCTTGTTCTAGGATTTTCTGAAACTGTTGCTATTCCTGACCAAAAAGCACAAGTTGTTAAATATTTTATTAGTATATTGCATATAATACTAGAGTTTTACATATTTAGTTAGGTCTTGCAAACAACTAGGCAACTAGCTATGAGGTAAAAGAAGGCCTTTCTCTTATGGTCCATGATAGGAGCTTTAACTTTGGAAAGATTCTAAAAGTGATACAAAATTTTGTTTTATAGTTCCTAAAGCACCACCATTACGATGCAATGAAGAAGTTTGGTCTTTGCAAGTTTACAATTTGGGAGGAATGTGGGTGCTGCTGATGTATATGATTATAAATATATAAATATATAAAGAGTCCTATGCTAAGAGTTTTCATATTGTAGCTACTTGGTTATGAACGGCGGCAAGATAATTGTTCAGTACTTATGAGGCATTTCGGGGAGTTTATAATAGTTTATGAGGGTTTTATTATCACTGGGGCTTGATTAGGCTTTTTTTTTCTCCCCATTATTATTATTATTATTTACGTCTGGTTTTAGTAGGAAAATCGTTGTCAAGTGCTTTCGCTTATGATTTACTATTGCTACATATATATATATATATATATATATATATATATATATATATATATTTTTTTTTTTTTTTTTTTTTTTTTTTTTTATGAGGGTTTTATTATCACTGGGGCTTGATTAGGCTTTTTTTTTCTCCCCATTTTTATTATTATTATTATTATTATTATTATTATTATTATTATTATTATTATTATTATTATTATTATTATTTACGTCTGGTTTTAGTAGGAAAACTGTTGTCAAGTGCTTTCTCTTATGGTTTACTATTGCTACATATGTATATATATATTTTTTTTATGCTATTTTGCTTTTTGAATGATGAGCACATCTCTCTAGGTCAAAATGTCCGACCTTGTAGTGCTCGGCGTATTCCACCCGCATTTTCATGATATGCCTGGTCAAATAAACCTAATATTGCATCCTCATTTTAAGTTATGCATTGGCTATATTGTCTTCTTCCGACTCACTCTTCAATCTCTCTTAGTTTTTGCATATGTAAAGTAATTTAGCCCCCGTTTGATTTTCATTAAATTCAATTATATTATATTACATTTTTCTCTCTCCTATTTTCAACCACTCAATTTTCCATAAAATAATATTACACGTAAATCGAAAAACTTTTCCTTCTTTTTCAACCTATCATTTTTCTAAAAAATACTATTCCCCGCATTTTCATTTTCAGGTAATGAGGGTCAAACGGGGGCTTAATAGGCAGTCTATTTTATTTCTTTCACATTTTTTTCCCCCAAAAATAGTGTTGGTTGAGAGCTTGTTTGGCTAAGCTTAAAAATTACTTTTAAGAATTTTTTCTTCTAAAAATGTTTCGAGGTTTTTTAAAAGTTTCTATTTAGGCTTTTCATTTCAAGATCTTAATTAAAAACGGCAAATCTTTACTTGCTGTGCAAAAAGTTGGCATATCTAAGCTTAGCTAGACATGCTGATTCTGCTGAGTTGATACTCTTTTCCATAGACCATCTGTTTGACAGGCATCACATTCTCAGCTCTGATTTGTGGCTCATCCAATTATTCTTTTCCAGCTGCAGTATATTATCTTCTAGAGTTGGAAACTATTTACATTTTTATTTGTAGTTTGCTATATCCTTTTTTCCTTGGAAGATTATATGTATCTGGTGTTTGTCAAGTCAAGATTTTCTGATCTGGCACATATAAGTTTGCTTTAGGGAAGTCCTGCTTGCCCCAGTAGAGTTTCTAGCTATGTCTTTGTCTGCACGCAAGGGTAAGGGGTTTATCCTTTTGCTCCCGTTCTTTTTAACTAACTATTAATCTATTTTATCTGATCCCGGGCATTATCTCAAAGTTCCCAAGAAGTTATATAGGAAGGTTTGTTTCTTTGATCCTGTGTTCTCCTTGGCTTCCATCCTTTTGTTCCTTGTGCAATATTTGGTTTTTCCTCTTACTTGAATCTCTTGAACCTTGATCGCATGGAACCTTTAATATTCAATTTGTGTATCCGAGGACTATAAATAGTCATGTAATTGTTTATTTGTACCTTTTGTGATGATATCTATTTCACATGCAGGTTCTACGTAGCTGAGGTCCTCCTTGCTATGGAATACCTCCACATGCTTGGCATTGTGTATAGGGATCTCAAGCCTGAAAATGTCCTAGTGAGAGAAGACGGACATATTATGTTATCAGACTTTGATCTTTCTCTTCGTTGTGCTGTTAGCCCAACACTCATCAAGTCTTCGTCCCTCGAGATGGAGCCCCTTCGGAAAAACTCAGTTTATTGCATCCAACCTGCTTGCATTGAGCCCTCCTGCATTCAGCCATCATGTATGGTCCCTACTTCGTGTTTCACTCCTCGACTCTTTTCGAGTAAATCCAAGAAAGAACGGAAAACCAAAAATGACATTGGTAACCAAGTCAGCCCATTACCGGAGCTTATTGCTGAGCCAACAGAGGCACGTTCCATGTCATTCGTAGGTACCCACGAGTACTTGGCACCTGAAATCATCAAAGGTGAAGGGCATGGCAGTGCTGTGGACTGGTGGACTTTTGGGATTTTTCTTTATGAATTATTGTTCGGTAGGACTCCCTTCAAGGGATCAGGAAATCGGGCTACACTTTTTAATGTTGTGGGCCAGCCATTGCGGTTTCCAGAGTCGCCCGTTGTCAGTTTCGCTGCTAGAGATCTTATAAGAGGCTTGCTAGTGAAAGAGCCACAGCATAGGTTGGCATACAAACGCGGGGCGACAGAGATTAAGCAACATCCATTCTTTGAGGGTGTGAATTGGGCATTAATTCGTTGTGCAAGCCCACCAGACGTACCTAGGCCAGTTGAGATCGAAAGAATTCCCGCCCCAACAGCATCAACTAGTCTGAAAGTTGCTCCTGCAGCTATCCCAAACCATCAAGGTTCTGATAATTATCTTGAATTTGATTTTTTTTAGTGGTTTTCTTAACTAAACTGTCATTATATTTTTATCCAACCAGATCATGAGTTTGTGAACATTACAGATATCTTAAATTGAAAAGAGAGAAGAAAAAAAAATCAGGGTCTAATGTGCTAGTATTTAGTATTTAATCATGTTGTATTGAACAGTTACAAATTTCTTGTATTTGCAAATGTTGAAATACTGTTGGTATCGATCCATAAATGTGAATTTGTTTGCTATATATGGCAGATCAACATCTTAGAAATTACATTATGTTTATTGATACTAAAAATACTTCCATGAATGCTCCAATGGTGGAAAATATTATCAAATGAATGAAATACAAATTATTAGAATCTTGTTTTTGATTATTCTGTCACCATTTAAGTGAGAAAATTTATCTCAATTCAAAATACGAAGAGAATTTACCTAATTCATCATCCATCTTCTATGCCATGAAAGTTTGTAAATATCAAAACCCTTCTCAATTTCATCCACCTCCCACATCTCAGGAAAGAAAGTTACAGTTCATCAAAATATGATGTCATATTTATCCAGCATTGTGACCCTTGTATTCAAATATCTTTAGGAGGTAAATAGTTCGATTAAGTGTTTCTTGTCTCCTTAATTTTTTGTTTGGATGTAAGATTTTGTTGTGACCATATTAGTGCATTGTGACTTTATATGTGCGATTGTTAATGTGAATGTCGGGTCAAAAAATTTCCAGAATTTAAGCAACCCAATATTTTGTGTTGCCGGTCATGTCATTAGTTACAAATATTGTTGTAGATTTACCTAAAACATATTCATTAATTTTGATGGCATACAAAATCGATTATAAATAAGTCCTATTAATGATAAGAAATTTGCACTTTTGTCAAAGATTTGGTTTTTTTTTGAAACAAAATGTTTATTACTAGTAGTTTTTAAGGTTTTTTCCCCCGTATTTTGTAAATTGTTTTTTAATAATTAAAGAGAAGTCTGAACATGAGCCCTTGTCCTTTTATATACAATTTGAAATTTTTTTTGGCGGGGGCGGGGGGGGAGGGATAACATACAAGAAATCTAAACGATCCCCAAATAAATAAATAAAATTAAATGTTTATTAGTCACTGAAGTGGAATCAAGAATTCAAGAATATAAGTAGAATGCTTCAACAAAAAAATAGCATGAACTTTATGAATTGCCACTAGGAAAGTACGTAATGCAATTTTTGTCTTAAGGTGCAATTTCGTAGCATTTCAGTTTTCTGATTTCAGTATCAGGCACGACGTGAAGCAAATACATAGCAGCCAGCACCTTGTATATGGCTTAGATTAGACATACAAGTCACTTAAAATTTATGAAGATTAGAGGATTTAATTCATGTCGACCGCAATGCCACAATGGTGCGCACTTCCATAGACTACTCACAAACATCCATTACATTCTAGCCAAAATAAAGAAACATCTAGTTTTATTATTTGTAAATAATTAACCAAGATTGTTAAAGCTTCCTGTCTCCCCCATTTTATTTCAAATAGAAGAAATGACCCAAAAAAGAAAAAAAAAATGAACATGAAAATTATACTGGTCTCAGATATACACAAATCAAGGCATTGACAAGTTTATCTCAAACTTACATATTTTGCACAAAAAATGGTCTAACCACACTCACCACACAGGCTTCTCACCAGGCAAGTAAGAAGGGGTACCACCCTCAATTTTGTTTTTCTTCTTATGAAACACACCACTAAGATTAGGCATCAGTACTTTCTTTGTCACAGAGGTTCTTGCTTTCTCCAATTTTCGTGTTTCCATTACTTTCTCCGCTGACTTCTGCTTCTGCATTTGGTAATTTTGTGGAGATGATTCATAGGACTTTTCTGTTTCTGCAAGAATTCTAGACGCTGCTTCCACTGCCTTCTTTTGTTCTCGTTCACGCCAGCGTCTGAGCTCTCCCTCAACTGCCTTCTTGGCTGCCTCAGCCATTTCTGCTTTCTTCAAAGCCTCCTGAGTAGCAGTTTTCATGTCCTCAATCTCATTCTGGCTAGCCTCGAACTTCTTGATGGCTTCCTCTTCACTTGCTCTCACTGCTTCTACCTGAGCTATTGCAGCTGCGACTTTGAGTTCTGCTAACTTTTGATATTCTTCAACCTTTCGGCTTAATGACTCGAATTCAACTCTTGATATTGTGATCTGTGCACCGGACTCTGAAGTCGAGGCACGTGCAGCATCAGTTTTCTCAGAGAGTATCCTGATTTGATTGAGGGTTCTAGCCTCTGCCGCCTTCAATTCTTCAGCTTCAATCAACGCAACTTTTAGCTTAGTCTCTGCTTCTTTTAGCTCAATTCTGGCTGCTTCTGCTTCTTTCTTAAGTTCTTCAGCGTTGTGCTTCATCTCTTCAACTTCATGTTTAGCATTTTCACTCTCCAATGATAGCTGGTAGATGGTAGAGATCATTTCATCAGAGACACCACTTAATTTGGCTTCATCTGCAAGGGCTGCTTCAAGCTCAGACTTGGCTTTCCGGAGCTTGACATGCAGATTACCTGCAGTGGATTCAGTTCCTATTTCCTTCTCGTGCAATTCTAAATGATCTTTTTTTATGTTTTCCAGTTCTATCTTAAGGGTATCCACTAGGCTTCTTAGAGAGTTTTCCTCTTCTGCCACTTTCTCTAGCGATTCCTTAGCATCATCCAACTCCGAAGTAATGGCCCTCACAGAATCAAGATCCGAAGCCCTTGCTTTTCCCATCTCTTTTTGTATAGCCTCAACTTCGGACATGGTTTCTGCCAGTTGAGTCTCCAGATTCTTGTTAACTTCGGAATCAAGAACTTTCTTCAAAGCAAGCAATTTTTTAGTCGACTCCTCAAGTTTGGCTTTATATGACTGCTTCTGCTTATGCTTCTCAGCATAGATCCTTGCTTCCTCTTCCCGTGCTTGTGTACTAGCAAGCTTCACCTGCTGAATCGACTCCTGTAAAGTCGCAATTTCTTTGGCTAACTCCCCACGTCTTTCCATATTTGCTTTAGCAGAATTCTCAGCTTTGGCTGCTTGTTCGATGGCGAGATTTTTTGCTTCTGTAGATGCATTATATTCCTCCCGGATTTTCCTGAGTTCTTGCTTTACTGCATCAAGTTCAGTGACTGCAGCTGTATATTGAACTCTAGCAGTTTCCAGGTCTACCTCTGCAGATCCATCATTTCCTTCAGATTTGCTATTTCTCGTTTCTTCAAATTGCTTTGCCCGATGCTTAGCCGCTTCTGTTGCCCTAACGGCTATATACTTCGATTCATTATGAGTTTTCAGCTTCTGAGTCAGATCTTCAACAGTCTGTTTAGCTCTTTCAAGCTCTTCAAGGGCCTGTGCTTTCATAGTTTCTGCATTTTTCAGTTGTTCCTTCAACTTATTCAACTCTTTTTGGGCCAGGTGAAGCTGAGTCTCCTTGGCAAGTACTCTCTGAAAAAGAAAATAGTCGGATCACAACTTTACTTGTATAACGCAGAAATAAGACATTGTTATAAGTACAATATTATGAAGTCACTTAACCCAAAGACTCTTCCATGCAGGACAACCTCCAAGAAAGACATTAACTTGTGTGCATGTATATTACTAGACAGTAAATATGGATGTCAAAAATAGCTTTTCTTTGTTTCACGACATTAAGTTTCAGTAATTGGTTGTACTACATAATAAATGTTTGTTACAAGAAAATCAACTACCATATGCTTCCTAAAAAAAAATGAAGACGCATAATTTATCAGGAAAAAATCCAATGAATCCATAGACTTCAAAAGAATTAGTAGAAATACTTGATGGCCAATTCAATCATGACATGCACTGCCTGAAACATGAATGCAGGAACACATATCCTTGACCTTTTTAAACTAGTCAAGAAAATGGAAATTATAGAAAAGAACCAAAATTTGGACAGGTACATGCAACAAGTGGTGCTGACTGATGTTACTTTTTCTCCAATTTCCCCTTTAAATTACTTTCTTAAAAATGTTACTAATTGTGATCGACCAAAAGTCTTCTACTAAAGAAATAATTAGCAAAAGAGTTGATATATTGATCGTGTGACTTCTCTAGAAACTATCTATGAGACAAAATGAATATGCACTTAAACAGAATAATGGTGTACAATCAATACCGAATATTGAGCATAGGCTTATCTAACAGAAAACTAAAAATACTTGACTAAAAAACCTCTAGCATGTTCGATAAGGTAGAATGGGCATTATTGGATAGTATTATAGAAAAAGAAAAAAATTAAAAATCTAAAACCTCATCTGTTTTAAAGCCCAAATTTTGTCTAACACTACGTATCAAATGTCCCACGGGTCTTGAAAGGGGAACATATTGAGAGTAACAAAATAGTCACCCCATCCATATTTTTGCCTATGAAACTACAGCAATATGTTGCATCACTATGTCCATAAAATTGCAAGTTGACACTACACGTTTCAAGGTATAGTGATTTAAATGAAAATTTATCTTGGTCAACAAAGGGGAGGAAGTAAAAAAGGAATGCTACATACTTCTGCAGAATGTGGTTTTGGCTTCTTAATAGCAGGTTTTTCTCCTGAAAAAGCACCTTCGCCAAATAAACTGACAGCGTCTTTAACAGATTGAAATGGAGCACTGGTATCGATCTCTCCCACCTCTGCTTTAGCAGATCCTTTGGTTGTCTGATGGTCATTTGCAGCCATATTTCTTATCAGATTGTTACCTATGAAGAAAGACCAACACGAGACAATAGTGACAAAAGGGGTAAAAAAAGAATAACCAACAAAAGACTGAAAGTGAATGAACAAATAAAATCATACTAGGCGATCAAGGAGCAATAAAGTTGCTTTTGGAAAAAATATATTATATGGATCAACACGTAGATAGTCAAAGTAGTAGTAAATATAATCCAAGTACCAAACCTCATAAATTGTCTCGCAAGAAGTTGTTATCAAGCATTGAAGACAGATCCATTGCAATTAGCAATTATCAAACAAATTGCATATATGGTTCAGATTTACAAATTTGACTCGTAGAAACTGTAGAAAAGAATGGATGGCATAGGTCCTACTCAAAAGGAATGCCAATCTAGAACTTCTATAGAAAAAGAATCTGATACAGATCAGTCAAAAAATAACTTCATTTTCGAAAGAACACAAGACTAGTGCATGCAGAACATCCATTATGAGCGTCAAATGTCAATACACCATCCCTTTTTTCTCAGAGACCTTGTAATTATAATCCACATTAATGCTTCAGTACTATCCATTTCTATGATCTATTTGCCAACATAGCTTTAGAGAACATTCCATGAAGAATTATATTGATCAAACTCCTCAGAAAATCATGGTAATTCATTTTCTGATCAAGAGGAGTGCCCAACTTCATGAACACTTATGAAAATAGATCTACTAGCCTTACTTGGAAAACAGAGCATGGAACAAATATGATAGTTTTAGACTTCATTAATGCAGATACTATATCAGAGTCTTAAAATATCATGGCATATACACTGCCGATTATAGGCCAGTGAATTATACAAAAGTTGTTTGGACTCTCTGAAAGATTTAAAACAAGCAACATTCTGTGATGAATAAACATTCGTTTACAGAAAATGGGAAGAGTAAACATTTCCTTGCAGTAACTTCAAGAATCAGGACACTTCCCTCTCATTACAGTTTCGAATTCATAAGGTGAATAATAATTAACAAAACTTCAGAAGTATTCAACAACCAAAAGATTTATTAAACCCCGATAACTTTTCGGCAGCTTAAGGCAGAAATTTTTTTATCACCAGATAGAGAAAGAGAAGGTATCATAATTCCATTTGCACGTCAGGCAAAAAAAAGTCCATCATAATTGAAGATCAAAAACTATGCAGCATACTTTACCTGAATATTTGTGCTACTTCAGAATTCTGAACACTGCAAAGAATAATCAAAACAACAACCCTGTATTCACATGAAACTGAATAACTATTTAAAACAACTCACTGTATATGCAAAAGCGACAAGCAATAAGAAAAATAATAAACCAAGAAAAGGGCAGAAGGTAGTAAGCACTAACCACCAATAATAACTCGATCAAAAACTATAATCATGTAATAAACCCAAGAAATCATCAAAACTTTCAAATCCTAAAGAGGGTTTTTCCCAGTGCAGTAAATTCGGATGAAAATGAGTCAAAATTCTTGATCAGCTTCACCAATCTTCCAAAGTCTTCGAAAAGTCAAACCCCTATGCAGAATCTCTCAAAACCCACACAAGCTGCCCCCGAGAACAATCAAGACTCTCCAACACCAAAAACCCTCCAAGAAAATCACCTCACAGTAAAAAAGATGGATAAAAAAAATCCATTTTTCAAGAAATTCAAAAACCACCGTTTGGTTGAATCAAAGAAAAAACTGAGAAGGGTTTGTGAGAAAAGATTTTGAAAGTTCAAAAACGAGTGTTTCCTTCTATATTGGTTTAAAGACAAAACCTACATCACATGAGCATATAAGAGAGGAGAGAAGAAGAGTGTCACGTCAGCAATTGCACAAAAAGTAGATGGAGATGGTACTTTTAATGCATTTGAATTCTTGGGCTTTTTGGTGATTGGTGAGAAAGGAGAACAAAAATTAGTTCTTGGCATGTCCCCTGTCCCCGTCATATACAAACCTTTTCTTGGATAGTAAAATATTCAATTGGATTCTTTTCTTTATACTGCCAGCCTAACTGGTTGCACCTGTGACTGGTCAAGATCTGAGTCCATTGGATTTGGACATTTGTAATTTTTGGATTGTGCTTGATGGATAAAGCCACATGGATCGGGGCGTAACTTGGCACCCCTCGTATACAGGGCTCATTTGGCCATAGTAAACTAGATTTATCCTTGTAATTTTTTTGGTTACGTGACGATATTTTTGCCTATTTATTCAAGCATTAAAACTTTTTTTTTAATGACGGAAGAACTCGCAGTTGCTACCCTTTAGGTACGCACTGAATAAGTCCTCGACCTGACGCAATAGCCTGCAAACCACGCCAACCAAGTAAATTGCACTATGTAAACCTTGTACGATATGCTCGATCAAAAAAATATTTGTAGGAGTAGTTGAGCTCGTGACTAAAGGCATCTTCGCTCACCTACTCTATCAACTCGGTCACTCCATGAAGAGCGCATTAAAGTGTTATGTGTATGTGTGTGTGAGACACTAATTTTGTTATCTAAGTGTGTGTTTGGGTAAGCTTTATTCACTTACTATATAAAAACATAGTTTCTAAAAATTAATAATTTTTTCTAATAATATTTTTTTTTTCATAACTTACTTTATTTGCCATGCTTCCTGTTGAAAGGGGAATGTATAAAACATAAGTGACAGTGCAACACAATATACTATCCTTGTTTAAATATAGAAAACTACGATTAATATATTACATTATATAGCACTCCACTTTAATTATTGTTTTCTAACTATTTCATCGTTTTCAGAATTTAAATTATAAAGGTCATGATTTTTGTTGATTTTTCCCCCCCCCCCC